AAGTTCATTTGTTTGAGGNTGTGCCTTCAGTGTTTAGTTCTGCCAGCCACAAGACCACAGAGACATTTTGGACAGCGCTGGCTCTTCAGCTTTGAAATGGAGATGAGCACTGCCCCCTAGAGTTGGAAATGACCAGCACATATGTGCGAGGGGAATCTTTACCTTTACCTTTAGTTTATCCAAGACAGGGCTCATCTTAAACTAAATCTAACTCCTTTAACAAACTGGGTTAATGATCAATTTTTGAAGTTCCTACCATAGACTGACCCACTAATGTGTTGTGGGAATGGGGCCACTATTTCTCAAAGGGTACGTAAGTGATAAAATAGGGGATCCACTGTACAGCAACCTGAACTCTTTAGTTGAAAGTGGCATATGAAATGGGCAGGCAGGCAGGCAAGATAAATAGTTGGATGTGGTGAGAAAAAGATCCACGTGCAAGAAAAATTAAGATTCCTTCAGCTGTATGTACTGATGTTCTAAGGGCAGAATAGTACTATAGGAAATAAGTTGTAGGGCAGTGCGTGAAAGAAAGACTAGATTGCACAGGATTCTTGACGTCACAAAACACTAACTTTGTGTAACATGGTTAAATGTCTTAAAAGTCTAATCAAATTTTGTGTTCACATAATACATGTCACAAAGCATTATAATTTTCCATAACATGGTTAAATGTCTTAAAAGTCTGAACCCAATTTTGTCTTTACACAATAAAATGAGATATAAACTAGCTCTACGATGAATTTCACATAGTCTAAAAATGTGAAAACAAAACTAAGCTGATGCTAAGTATATACGGGACCTCTAGACCCTTAACTGACTAGGTTAGGTCAATTCTATTACTCACATGGGAGTGTGTTTTCCTCTACAATCATAATGGCACTGACCTTCCATCTTCCTTATTAAATATCATAAACAAAATCAGTAAAAAAAAATCAATGTAAGGGCAGAATCACAAGTGAATAGGATACTATGTCTATATGTTTTTAATGTCCACTTAATCAAGGAAGTTTTTTTTTTACTTTTACACAGGGATGTCACCAAATTTAAAATGAGGGGAGAAAAACTAACCAAGGGTCAGAGTGCAATAATAATAATATATAACATCTTCAAATAGTGCTGGGAAATCCTTCTGCCTACAACCCTGAAGAGCCACTGCTGGTTTGTGCAGATGGGAGGTAGACAACCTGTTGCCCTCCAGATGTTTTGGATCACATCTCCCTTTCACTATAATCAACACAGACATTAATCAGGAGATATGAAATCAGTCCAAAACTTCCATAGGAAATTATGTATCTTATCTAATTGTAGAGAAATTGTGATTTTTATATTCCTCATTTCCTTATTTTAAACTATCCATTTTTCATTTGAGTAGAACTCAATCAGTTTCTAGGTTTTATATGCACTATCTAAAACACCATCTCTCAAATTAGATCTTCCCAAAGTTGTTGGACTTCAACTCCTATAATTCCCATCCAGAAGAGGACATATGGGAATTGAAATTTGTCACATCTGGAAGACACCAGGATAGGAAAAGGATAAATGGATACCATACAAACATCTGCACAGTTGTGAAGCTATTTGTGGTTCTTTTGGTACCATACATTTGGGTTAGTTCAGCATGGGAAAAAAATGCTGAAAAATTGCCAAGCTAAAAATTTTCAGACAGTTCTTCTTTGACAAAGTTTAAACACTGAAATTACAACCTAACTGCACAACAGCCAGTTATTGCAAGGAATAAAAAAAACAACACAGTATGTGGTCAGTTTAATGCTGTTAGAAGAAACATGGCAGATATGAAACCCAGAGTTAAACAGTGAAGGAAGTTATCCTTGTTAAAACAAATACATTGAAGAAAAAGCTGTAAATATGTTTACTTAGAATCTTCTAGTAGTTTTGGCGAAAGTCGATTGTTGCTAAACTGAATTGTCTTCCAGCCAATCATATCAACATTAACAATGGGATATGCAAATTTCATTGGATAAATACTAATACATAATTGTTTACAGTCAGACAAGGGAATTTCCAGTTTGATTTGAATTGACAGTTCAGTGTAAGAAGAGCTTTCAAATATTTCTTTTTCCAATATTTAAAAAAAATTTAATATACATTTCTTCTAGATTAGCTAAACTAAGAACCTTACAATGTCAGCTTGCCAGTTAAACATGTTTCACTTTCAATCCCCTTTCCAAAGTGTAAAGATTGTGTTTTGTGTGTGTGTATACTTATCTTATGTTCTAATACTAAACAGTTTTAATGAATGTGATATATTACAGCAACTGCTCGAAAACACAGATAGATGCAAGCACTGTGCAATACTGCATATGTATGTGATATATATCAATTGATGCCTTGGATCACAGCCACAGAAGCAGCAATGTTTCTAATTTGCTCATCTGCAGCAATGTATTTTCAAATAGAACATTACTAGAAATGACAGCTTTAAAAAGTCATTCAGGAATATAAATCTGAGCTTCAATGCATTTCATGTTTTCAGTTACATATTCTTTGCTATTAAAATTACAGTCCCAATGTCCTGTATAGACAGCAACAATGAAACAAATGGACTAAATAAACCAAGATTTGACAGCTGAAGGCTACAGAGACCCTTGCAACACCCAAACAACTTTTTCAGACTTCCAAAGCTACCTATCTTCATAATTTCTGAAAGATGTCACTCCTGCCAACACAGAGTATGTGGCCAAAAAGAGATTTAACCTAGTGTGAAATAAAAGGGAACCCACACGCCCCTCCAATTTAATCTCCCAAACCAAGGAAAACAGTCAGAAATATCCTGGTTTCCCAATCCCTGCAGCTTTCACATCTGTAAAATGTTAAGTTGGACCCTGGGCATCAAATTTTTATCTCCCTTGGACTATGCATAAACTGTTATAAAGTACTCAGAGAGTCTGATAGGAATGACTCATGCTTTATTCTACGGAATAGCACCGAAGAAAGATATGTGATGTTTATCCACCTGCTAAACATTTTTAAGGCAACTCAGGGGAAACCTTTCCTCCACTTTCTAAATTTGGAGAGCCACTGAAGAATGCAAGCCTGGGAGATACGGTTTTGCTGCTAAGTGTCTGTTCATCACCTATTTTCTTTTCAAGCATGATGGTCGGCTGCAAATCAAAGGATTCCACTGCCCTCCAAAGACTTATTTTTCTGTTTGCAAAGTTCAGAAGCAAAAGAGTGAGCTTAGTTCAGTCCCTAGTGGTCAACTGCAGAACACAAACAATTTCCTACACATGATTTTGCAAGGCAGTCCTTTTCAGAAGGAAAGGAAAAGGAGAATCTCTTGCCTCGCAGAAAAGTTTGCGCAAACAGCCACCAATGAATGAATGAATGAATGAGTAGACTGCATCACATTTCAAGGTCTTACATGAAAGCCTTGCTAAATCCAGATGTGCAGTTTCAAGAAGAAGTCCTACACATGTTGAATTAGGAGTCACCCTTGTTTACTTCTGTGGGACTAATCCCCTCTTATGAAGAGAGAAAGGGAATGCAGTCCATCCTATGAGAACCCATCTCATCAAAGCATGAGAACCTTGAGATTTCCACCAGAGCAATTCTTCCGATTGCTACCTAAATGTGGAAATGAACCATAGCCACCCGACAGCCTTTCAAAAACCAAAATAATAATAATAATAATCTTTGGCGAGCCTATCTTGATGTGACTCAAAAGTACATTTTGTCATTTTCAGATGCATGAAGGTTTGACTGGCTAAAGGAGAAACAAGCTTCCTGCCTGGACAAGGAGAAGTGAATGCAAATTGGTAGGACCAGATTTTGATTAAAAGTTTGGAATGAGAAATTTTACAGGGTGACACAGACTGCCTGGGCAGCTGGAGGCTTTCAAACAGAGCTAGGGAGCCTTCTTCCAGGGAGGTCTTTCTTTGAGCAGTGGGCTGGACTGGATGACTTCCAACCCACTTCCAACGCTAGCATTCTATGATAGATGAAGTAAACAGTTACATGTTCGCCTTCTAAGAATGAAATTCTATGTGCTATTCTCTCGGAGTAAGTCCTATTAAAAAAAAAAACACTTTTGGGACCCATTTCTGAGAAAGCATCCTGAACATACAGTGCTGCACATGCTTATTTTTTTTAACATTCATTTTGACTTTCAGTGAACACAGGATGCACCACTTTGGTTAATTAATGAAGAGTGTGTGGAACGCACAACACAGAGGAAGCCTCTCAATGTTCATTTAGTTTCTTATAACTGCCAAAGTGATTGCAAACAACTTAGGATGGGACCACCACAAGCCTGATTCAAAATATGAGCAGCTCTTAAAATTAGAATTCGTTATCAGTTCTCCTGATTTTTTTTTAAAAAAATACTCCTGTTTTCACTATAGTTCTACACAGTGCCAAGCATTTTCACTGAAGGACACATCTAACGTTGCTAACAGGCAGCAAGATTTTTGCTTAAATGAATCCAAAAGTTATAAGAGGAGTCCAACCGTTTATTTCTGTGCTACAATGCACTAAACAGTTAATTTTACTTAAAACCATTCATTTCTGAGCTAGCACAGTGTCAAAGGTTGCTCCAGTGATAATGGATTCTGTTAACCTTTGATGTTTGTTGTCCCATGCACACGGTTCTGTTTTTTATTTTTTTTAATAAGAGCCTACGGACAAAACATACTAACCACAGGTATTTCAAATAACATGGATATCATTCCTAAAACACCTTGTAGAATGTACTTGTCAAGTTACTTTTAACACTCTGCACATCAAGCTATCCACCTGGCAATAGATCATTAGCTACCTCGGCTGAAGGTCCTTGAATTTCTTTAAATCAGTTTGAAACCAACAAGCCAATATCTGCCAATCAGTCATCAAACTTTTGCTGCCAGTCACTCTCACTGAACCAATTTTCAGAGTGTCCCTAGTTGGCGAGGGCAGCAAACGCAACATCTGCATCAGAATGGTACATGCATCATGCAGGAATCAATACAGGTGCTTGAGCAGCTCCAAAGGGAAGAACTTACCTTTTGTAGCCACTGAGTGTAATTTTCCATGACATGCTCCAGCCGCTGCAGTTTCTGGGAGGAGAAATCTGTCTCGATGTGAGGGGCATCCCTTTGCAGCGCATTGGTGTTGTATTGGTCAGAAGAGCTTTCGCGACAGTTTCCATCCTGTTCAGGAAGTATGAACGTGTAGGTGCACTGTCCGTGCTGAATCCGATTATACCTTCGTCCATTGGACTCCGGAGCCCGGCGTGGACTAGTGCCGTTGATGTGCTTCAGAAGAGAAGCAAGGAAAACAAACCAAACGAAAATGGTCATGTTACTAGCCCTCTTCTGTCCTGCTCTTGACACCTTGATCCAAGCCTCCTCTCCTCGCCTTTGCCTTGCTTTCCCCCCCTCCCTCTTTTTAATGTTTGCTTTGCCTTTAAGGATTTGTTTAGGGGATCAAAAGATAAGGAAAAGGGAAGAAGGTTCAGAAAATAATAGTGAGCTTTTCTTTAAAAAAAAAGATTATATCTNAAGGCCAGAACTGGATAGTAAAGGAACACTTAATAGGAAAAATGTCTTCAGTTCTTTTATTACTAGAAATCAACATCTGGTAATTCTGTCTTAGATAAGTAGACGTATTTTCCCAATGTTGGCAGGGCTGTCCTAACGCATTGGCCTGATGGGCACTTGCCCATGGGCCCCACAAGCATAGGGACCCCATAATATTCTGTGTATGTTAACCTTTCAATGCACCTTGTATCATATAAATACGGCAACATATTTATTACATTTTACTGTAGTGTTATTAATATTAACATGCATTCATAGAAAATAACATTGGTTTTTTTTGTAGATGATGAGATGAGCCCACACATTTTATCGACCATTTACATTTTTAATCCTGTAAGTAGTTGTTGTAAGTGCCCCAGTACACTGCTTTGCCTGCGACCCATAATGCTGTTAAGACAGCCCTGAATGTAGGGCATTGAGAAGGCACTTATATATTCTTATTGTTTTTTATTGGAAATCTACTACCACCATGCTTTGATTTTGGCAGCTTACTGATTGTTACAGTACAACTGCCCTACTTTATTGTAGTACATAAAACATCCAGACCACCTTTCAAATGAATTTGTTTTTAACAACTACATAGTTTTCTTTTTGTCTTATTCACCTTAGTTTTTTTTTAAGTGTTATTCTATCTCTTTTTGTGCACAACTTTAGGAAATTAGAGCAAGAATTACTCGCAAATCACATAGGAGACTTTCCTTAAAAATGTATCCAGAATTTCATGCCAAGAGAAATTAATTCAAGGTTGGAAAAAAATGAGGAACTAAGCAAAGTCCAACTTGATAGATTCATCCAAATCTAATTTTTTACAGAGAGGTTTATATAATCTGGGGAAATATGCAATTCCCCACCACCACAATGCATTCTGATTTGAATACCTAAGAAGAACTTAATAGAATCTTTACTTGAATATGGACTACGGGGATCACTTTCAATCTGACTTCAAAGCATGTGGCTCTTGCTTTTGCCCCAAGCCTCCCTTTTCCTTCTATTCTTGTTTCAACTGCTAATTATTTTGGATTGTGAAAAGAGCACCCTCAGACAGAAGGCAGCTACACAGGATTAGAAGATAAGTAAGCAACCATGCAGACACAGAGAGAAAAGACAAAAAGGCAGACAAAATTCAGATTCAAGTATTACAACTATGTCTTATTTAAGCAAGGAGGCTTATTAAGGAAAGATCACTTTTTTATATAGACTACTTGGCTTGCCACCATTTTTCTATTTATTTTTACACTTAGCCTTTAGTTGCATGCTTTGATGCACTGGGAATATAGATGTAATGGAAAAATTAAACTTTCAGCACTTGGCTAAAGTGAAGACATTCATAGATAAAAATATATATTTAGACTTAAACATCTATATTTGCTTCTATAAATCAAAGACTGACATCACAAATCCATATAGGTGTTAGATAAATTGTCGTCAAAAGAGAAACTAATAGCAACCACAAGAAATTAATTTAAAAACATTGGCAAATTTTTTTTTTAAAATAGAACAGTTTATAGAATAGCCAAATCTCAGAGACCTGTCAAATGAACGACAAGATCTTGTGTGAGATCTTGTAATATTTTAGTATGGTGTTTCCTGGGATCTTTAAAAAACTGACAGCAAAATTCACCCATCTTGTGAAATTATAGGTGATTTGAAGAGGAGTATTTGGTTTTCAAAGAGCCTTTATTGTTGAGAGTCAGTTTTTTAAAAATGTTTCAAGATTGGACAATGCATATTTCTGAGTTGTATCATTGTTGTGATCCCAAACTCCCGATTTATGACAATAGACTGAAAACACATTTTTGCCTCTTGCTTCAAATGGATACATAATAAGCTTCATCAGGTCTATACTATTGCCCAACTGAAGTAGAGTATGGGAATTTGTTGATTGGCAAAAAATATAATGTTGCCTATTTATTTTGGGTTGAAGAAGGGTCTTACAATCATTATATCATTTAGCAACACATATTTATGTAAGTTGGCACATGCATAATAATGGCAGGATTCAAAAAAGATTACTACTGGTTCTGTGGGCATGGCTTGGTGGGTGAGGCAGGGGAAAGATACTGTAAAATCTCCATTCCCTCC